GTAAAAACCTGTGTAGCTGGATTAGAGGACCCAGGATCAAGTATGTACTTGACTATGGCCTTCACTTAATGACTTTGGGCCAGTCAGAATCATTCTCCCAATTCATCTCGCAAGAGAATATCACTATAATTCCCAGATAGCTTTTAGCAAAAATAAGAGATATAAATGCAATTACGCTGCATGTAGTTTCTTGCTGCAATCTACAAAGCATGTTCAGCATATAAATTGCACTTTCTGAAGAAACTCTTGCAACACTACTTACCTGTCTGGGAAACCTGACGCACCATCCACAGGACATGCATTTTCAGCTTGATTCTAGGACTCCTCTATAAAAATAGCAAGAAAAAAATGAAGTTAAAAAAACTTAAAGCAACCAGGTTCGCTGGTTAGTAAAGAAATCCATTTAATATCATAACATGTCCTAAATAACGAACACGCTTGCAAGTTCAACAAAACTCAGATGAGGTAGGTGCTAAACAATTACGGATGGGGGAGGATAGAAACCTAAATACATTCAACTAAAAATAACTTGAGCATCGAGGGACAATATTTCAAGTTCACAAGGCAGGTTACTCGACTATAACCCGTGACCATTTATCCACGAACAACGCGGTCCTTGGATTTAAATCTTGACTTTTTCCTCTATGAAAGTGTGTTTGAGACAGCTTGTCAAAGGCTCCTGATTAAGTAGGATTTTACTGACTGTGGCTTTCTCAGCTGCTGGAGTGATGGTGGTCGTGTGAGAACGTGCACCAAAAATACCGAAACGGGACAGCCTGATTCCATTTTGAAAATGCAAAGAGCTGAAAACATGGAAATCACATCAGAAGTTATTCGGGATCCCCAGTCGCACGCCCGGGGCAACCCAACCACGCTGCAAACACGGGCCATGTTTTGTGCAGGGCGCTGCTTACATTCAGAGAACCAAGGAGGGAAGCGCAGGGGGCTTCAAAGCCACAAGACTCCGCAGAAAAGAACCGTCCCTTCTAATACTTCGGAAGATTTAACTCCATCGAATGTCAGAAAAACAATGGCGCGCGTGCGTAAATCGCTTCGCGGTGACCACTTTCGTCTGAAAATCTCGCCAGGAGCTTGCGCTATCGCCAGCCTAGGTAACGCATGCGCATTTCTACGTCCTCAGGGCAGTCTTGAAGGTCCCAGACACCGACACTACTACGCTTCTCCCTCCCCCTTCCCCCCCTCTGACTCTTCTCTCAGCGGAAGAATTTCCGGCCGCCACGGAAAGCCAAGCAGGACATAAAACATCAAGAACGCAAAAACAGTGTTATCACCCACCGTTCTGCTCAGTGCCGCCGACAAGCGGCAAGAATAACTGGGACCAATCACCACTTGGCTGAAAAGGCATTGGTTGAAAATGACCCGCGAGAGGCGCTTTGTTGAACGCTCTGAAACCTCCCAATATTTTGGGGCGGGGAAAAGATTAAGTGCCCCCAGTTGGGGCGGAGACTAAGTCTTTGATTGGCTGAATCATTGTATCATTGATCCACGATCTTGCGTGAATTGGTGGATGTAACTTATCGGGAAGATTCGTAGACTATTGGTTCGGTGGTGCTAGTAGTAGTCTTTATCTCTTTCATAATGCTTAGGTTGCTCAGTTTAGTTAACATTTCCGTGTAAAGCTCTTATTATTTGTATTTGTCACCGGCTTCATAATTCCCAGGGTACCCGGTAATCGTATTGTCTGGGTCGTTTTTTGCCCCCATCCCAATATTTAAATTGTTTTGCGCTGCTTAAGTTCTGCGAAATAGTAGCTTTGGCTCGCTTTATCCGTCACAGGGTGAAATTTCTACGCTTCATTTCTACCAAATCAAATGTATGTCACATGCCCTTTTGAGGGTGAGAGCGTTATGTGTCTACGGATATTCTCAAGCACCGGTTGTCTCAAAGGTGTTTTTTAAAAGATAATTGGACTTTCTTGGTTTTTCCTTGAAAACGTTTTGCTTCTCATCTAAGAAGCTTCAGCTTCTGGGGAACAGTGGGGAATGGAAGGATGTATATTCTTTGCAGTCATCCGATTGTTAGCTCTGAGTGGTAGAAGATTGGGGGTTTATCTATCCTCAGGGTTACCTGAAAGAGTGCAAATGGGTGTGGAGCCTTCTTGGTACTGCTGAAAGGGCTGTGTTGTAGGAGATGGGTGCTGTCATATTGAGAGAGGGTTGCATGGTTTTAGCATAGATGGCCTCTTTGACCCTCTTTCAAACCAATGTTGAAGTCCAAGAATGTGGACTTTGCTGCCTTCAAAAGAGTGACTTTTGTCTTTCAGAGGCAGATGGACTGCTGAATCTTGTCCTGGTGAGTTTGTTTTCCTGTGTTGCGCCATTTGTTTTAACTTTTAACTTGTTTTTCAATTCTACTTACAGGTAGTCCTCGAGTTATGAATGGAATGGAGCCTGCCCATTCCATTCGTAACCCGAGGATTCATGAGAGTGAATCTTGTACATTGAACAGGATCTCTCCCTCCTTTCGCCTCCTCCCACCCACACATTCACTAATCGGATGTGCGGTTCGTTAAGTGCACTTGAGGTATTTCAGGGTGGAGAAGGCCATGGCGGGGGTGGGGGGGTAATAATGGAACAGGCCACCTGCTTAAGACCACCCAAGGCCTCCCCGACCCACTGAAATACCTCATGCTCCCCCATGCCAGGTCACTTACCGTGCGAAGATCTAGCAAGCTGTCTCCTCTCAACCATGCGTGCCCCTCTGCAGGTCTGTTTTGGCTGGCATAGTGCAAGGCGAATGTTGCAGACCTTCTGAGGTTGTTCATCAGGGCGAACAACTGCCAGGATGCTGCAAGATTCATAGTTTCGGGACTTGTTCATAAACATTAGGGGGCACTGATTGAGTAACTTCAAATGTTGGCTAAGGGAACGCTTATCTGTAGTGGCACATGATAATTTTTACAATGTTCCAGTGAAAAACTTTGTTGAGTGTGATATGTCATTTCTCATAATCATTTTGTGAATCACCCTAAAGATATCTCTCCAAGTCAAACAAGCACAGATAGCTCAACAAGAATTGCTCCAGCTTAGAACACAGCATCTGGATGTCCCCCCTGTATTTTCTATGTGTGAATGCTCAGTTCATACATCCTATCGTTTTAAATCAGAGAGCCAGTTTGGTTTAGTAGTTAAGATAACAGACTAGAAACTGGGAGACCATGACTTCTAATCCCATCTTAGAAGGAAAAGTAGGAGGAGGAAGGAGTATTAGGTATGTTCACTGCCTTGAATTATTTATTAAAAACAATAAAGATGNTAGATCGGGAAGTTAAAAACCTGGAATGGGGTACAATCAAGCTTGATTCAAAGCCTTCTGCCCTGTAGAAAAAAGAGCTGATTAAAGCAGCACATATGGGAAAAGAAGGAAAAAGCTGAAAAAAAGAGGCCTCACCTGAGCAGGGCATACAGCTTCACACAGCTTGCAAGCAATGCATCGCTCCTCTCCAGATGGGTATCTGCGCAGGGCATGCTCTCCACGGAATCGGGGACTCAATGGGCCTTTCTCAAAAGGATAGTTGATAGTGGCAGGCTCTCGAAATACATAACTCATGGTTGTAGCTAAACCTAATGTTCAAATGGAACAAAATCACATCCTCGATTTAAATAAGCCACGGAAAGGCAAAACTGGTGCTCTTAGAAGGCTGGGACTGCAATTTCATACTCTCAGTCATTTAACACATGAGATGAATGTGAATTGGAGTACAATTTATCGAAGAACACCAGGTTGCTCTGAAATGCAACATGTATCTCATCCTCCAGATTTAAATAAGTCAGGAATCAAATATATATAAAAATGTCACTAGGAACATTTTAGGATTTGAGTAGGTTTCCAGCTTCAAAGTAAGCAGGGTGAAGATCTGTTCTCTCTTGTTCAGAAATACAATTGACCAAATAAGCTAAATTTACAGGAAAGGAAATTCCAGCTGAATGATAGGAAAAATCTTAACAGTAAGAGAGGTTCAAAGTGGAGCCAGCTGCCCTCGGAAATGGAGACCTCCCTCTTAGTTGCAAAGGGAAGCTAGACAGGGATTTGTCATGGTTGCTTTAATCTGGATTCCTACATGAAAGAGAGGGTTAGACTAAATTGCAATGTCTCCTCCTCATACTACAGTTCTATAGTGTACAGATGTTTTCTATCTATTAGGAGTCTGTCTTCAAATGCCAATTCCAATTAAAAAAAACAATATACGGATTAGAACCCTTTTTCTCAACCTCAGCTGAATTTCTCAGCATTCTCAGGCCAGCAAGTAAGGCCTAGGAAAAGACAGTAAATTATATATCCAACTGTTAGGCTGCAAAGGACAATAGGAAGCAAAATAAGAGGGAATAGTTAACTTCCTGTGGGTAAACCATTTTATGTCACATCAGCTAGCGCTCAGAAATAACAGCCATCACTTTTCTCATTACTTCTCACCTCGAATAAGTTCTGTCCACAAGAGAGTCTGTGCAGCTTTGTCAGTGACCGATTTCCAGTCTGTCTGTTCCTCCTTTGCATTCACATACTCTGCAACAAAACGAAGAGGAAGGAATTGTTGCCATTCAGACACCACAGAAGCATTTTATAGAAAAGAAACAATAAAGAGACATGGTTAACCTACCGTAGCGAGAATTGTTAAAACAAGAACATGGAGATAATAAGATGAAACCAAGCGAGCAGCTGGCTGCAGGTGGATTTAGCTTTCAATTGTTTTTATGTGCACAATTAAGAAAAAGATTGAATGTAGACAACAGGACATTTGGGACTGACCAACAGAAGACAAAATATGAAATTGAAATGCATAAATGACTATATAATTGCCAAATTCTTCAACTCTTGCTGAAATTTGAAATGGAAGACAAACAAGTGAATCTATCTTCTTTATTATATATATATAATAAAG